TAAATTTTGAGTTTTGACTGGTTTACCGGTTGAGATTACTATATTGCCAGGTTCTTTCTAATGTCGAGAAAGATGTAAATCTGCACTGGTCTGGTTGAAAGTTAGGAGAGTTGACGTTGAGTCCCTTGGCCTTACTGTGATTTAGATTTACTTTTGTTTTCCCTTTCCCTCAAAAGTTAATGAATAAAGTACTAATGATTTATTATGTACTCTTCTCCTGGTGGCTTGTTTATAGAGCTATATGTGTTGCCCCAAGTTGGATAATGTAATTTTGTTTCTCTTTACTGTGTTTGTTGAGCTTGGATTGTGTTAACTTTTTTCTCTAAACAATTATCATAAAAAGAAATTTTTAGAAAAATAGTGGATCAGTGGAAAGAGTTTTTTTTATACGTTAACTCTAAATAATCAAAAAATTATAAAATTTATATATATTATATCTTAATATATATTTTATTCCTTATATTTAGTAATTTTTAAAGTTTTATTATTATCAAGATTTTTTAGTTTTTTATATTATTATATAATTTATAATCATAATTAATTAAAATTACTTAAACAAGCTCTTATTGGTCATACTCATATATTTTTATTATATTATAAGTAATATAAGAAGGAAAGTTCTAGAAGAAGTTTTACTTCAACTATATATATTCAATCTTTAGAAAACAGTTAAGACATTGAAAAGTATAGTAAATCTGCACAAAGAAATTTTATTTCTTTTCTAAATTCTTTAGATGGTAAAAGGTTTTTTAAGGTGAAAACTAAAGTTTTTTAATTTTTTTTGAACTATTTCAATCTGGCGTATACTTAAATAAAGACTTGTTTAATATCACAAATAGTAACAAAGAAGACTTCTTTGAGATCCAAATAAAGTAAAGAAGAATATTTCAATTAAATAGAACTTCTTTTAAGAAAAAGTTATGAAATAGAGCAAGAATTTTTTAAAGGGTTTTAAGTTATTTTTTATTTCTTCTTTTCTAGTATCAATTTTAGTAATTTATTGTTTTTTAGAATAATTAATAATGACAAACTGTTGACAATGATTCTAATTGACTTAGAGATACTATGTTAAGTTATTAAAAGAGTGTAATATTATCTTCTAAATTTGATTTGGAGTATCTAGTTGAGACTTAGTTTTGTTTAGTTTAAACTAGCTTAGTAGGACCCTTATATTTTTTAAGTAGTATAATTATTTAACTAACTAATAATATATAAAGACAAGTAAGTTATTATGTGAGAAGGTTTGTGGATTATTTTGATAAGTATATGAACATATTTTGATAAGTATAGTATGTTATTATTGCAAGAAGAATATCAATTATAAAAATAATCATTATAATTTTAATGGATTTTTCAAGTATCATAATAAAAACAAGCTGTTTTGACATGATTGCAAGTTAATAAAAAATTTTTTTAATAATTTTTAAATTTTATTTTAAATATATTTTTTACAAATTTTTTTTTATATTAATATTCAAATCTTTAATAAATTATGGTTGCTTCCAAAAGTTTGAGTCTACTTATTATATTTTTATTATAAATTTCAACTTTGACAATTTTTAAATCATTAACTATGTAGTCAAAAATTATAAAATTTATATATATTATATCTTAATACTTATTCTATTTCTTGTATTTTTTAAAAAAAATTTTTATTAATATGTTCTAAAGTTTTATTATTGCTAAATATTTTTTTTTTTTATTAATTATTATATAATTTATAATAACAGCCAATCAAAATTCTTCAAAAGTAAAAATTTAATAAAGAAAGAAATTTTTGAACAATAATAAAACTTTAAAAATTACATATCAAAAATTTTAAAAAAATTATAATAAATAAAACTAGTAGTAAGATATGATATATATGAATTTTATAATTTTTAGTTATATAATTAAGAATTTAAAAATTATCAAAGTTGAAATTTATAATAAAAATATAATATGGGGACTTAAACTTTTGGAAGAAACTGTTTTTCAACAAGTTTATTTATTTTTAATATTAATATTTAAATTATTTGATTTTTTAATATTATATTAAATATTTTTTATTAAATTCAAGTTTGAGAATTGTGATTATTATTATATTGAAATATTATATTATGGAAAGTTAAATTATGACTTGATAAAATCATTAATTTATTTTTTAAAATTTATTTATAAGAATCTATTTTTAAAATTTGATAAATATTCAATATTTAAATAAATGAATTGTTTTTATAAATTAATATTATTCTTATTGAATTTAATTGTAACAATTATAAAGAAATTTTTTTGTACCTCATATATACTTTAAATTTATATTTATTAAAAAATTTTTAAATTATTTTAATATTGTTTCATATTTTTTAGATATTTATATACTGTACAATTGTTTTCAAGAGTTTGAATTCATTTAGTATATTTTATTATAAATTTAAATTTTAATAATTTTAAAATTTTTAAATATATAATCAAAAATTATAAAATTTATATACAGTTATTATGCCTTAATACTAGTTTTATTTCTTATATTTTTTTCAAAATTTTTCATATATAATTTTTAAAGCTTTATTATTGTTAAAATTTTTTTCTTTATTAAATTTATACTTTTGAATATTTTAATTGGTTGCTATTGTAAATTATATGATAATTAATAAAAAAAATAAAAACTTTTCACACTAAAAATTTTTAGAAATTGTTTATAAAATTTTTTTTTACAAAATGTGAGAAATAGAAAAAGTATTAAGACATAATATATATAACTTTTATAATTTTTGATTGTGTAATTAAGAATTTGAAATTGGCAAAGTTAAAATTTATAATAAAAACATGGTAAGTGAACTCAAACTTTTGAAAGCAATTCTATATCTTGAACGGTTTATATTTTTTATTGATTTTTAATAAATATATTTTTTCATGGAATTAGAATAACCCTTTTGAATTAATAAATCAAAGTTTTATGTAAGAAAAAAAAGTTTACGATTATAATTATTTATAATATAAAATACAAAAACATTTATTTATGCAAAAATTCGAGAAATTCTTGCATTTATATAATTTTATTATTTTTAATGACTGCCATACGTATTCCATTTCATGCAGTGTAACTCATTCGCATGCGGAAATAAAGACTCCGTTATGAACTTTTAACATAAATACAGTACATAGCATATACAGCACGTGTGGATTGAAGTTTTCTTCTCACACATTTGAACGCATCGAGAAAAAGAAATGTCTGCACACAATCCAGATACGATTGTTCCAGTTCCTAGGACCTTTGAACAAAAACTCCGGGATGATATGGACAAACAGCAGATGTCTGCCCTTCTGCGCTATCTAAGACAATGTACAAGTGAACTCCCGTATGAGAAACTCGAATTTAAAACAAAGTACGGAATTACGGATGAACAGTGGACGGAGGAATCGGAATTGAAAGCGGTGATGAACAATTTTTCTTACGTTTCCGATCATTGTCGGGAGTTTGAGGACAAGAAAGTTTTCGGAAGGTTTTTGGAAAACGTTACAAAGATTCATAATCATTCCGAAGAATTCAATGATGATTATGAACAGGTGTTGAAAATTCTCAAGGATTGGCAGGACGCAAAAAAAGAAAGGCAAGATGATGCCTGCGAGAAGCATAAAAAGGAATTTGAAGATTGGTACAGGGATGAGATCAACTTTATCGAAACTTCCGAAAAAGAGGTTAAAGATGTTTTTGAGCAAATTGAAGACTTTAGTAATTACACCAGAGATGATTGGGAATATAAAGTGAAACCTTCGGTTATGAGAATCGAAGAGAAATATCAGAAATCCAGTAAGAAAGAAAGGACCCTTTCGGATTTTTTTGCACACCTTGTTATCACAAACCTATGAAATCATGAAAATCTTTTTTTTTATGCGTAGAAAAAAATTTTCCGGACTCCTTATTGCAAGACGTCCAAAAGCTTGGAAAATCCATAAACGACGCCATGATTGTCATTGGTTATGTTATGAGTAAATTCTATTATCGTTCATTATTGTTCATTGTAATCTTGTTTCAATCATGTGCCAAATCTCAAATCTCCGTTTGGTACTCCAGAGGACCTAAAAACCCTGACGGTGTATATGGAAAAGTTAAAGAACATGTTTTTCAAAATGAGTGATGACCGGGGTCCAATCTCCATTAAGAAAATATACCTGGAAGACGTGAAGAACAAGTGGCCGGATTTAGGTAAACTAGCGAGTGAATGTCACAACAAGATTTTCATCATAATCGAACAGCAAGAAAAAGAAGAGGCGGCTGTGTACAATGCAATGTTGAGTGACGAATGAGATGTATAGGTAATTTCGTCTCTTCAATTACGTGCGGTATTAATAGTCCGAAAGAATCAGCTGGAGATCAAGACCGATGAATACAGTTATTTTGCGCGTGACCAAATTGAAAAGTTCTTCGGTGACCGCCATTTCATAATGGAATGGTTTGTTGATCGCGCACAAATGCACCATTTGAAAAATCAAAGGGTCATGTACTGTACAGTGCCTATACATAATAAATGAGATTTTATTGTTCAATATTTGCCTATTTCTTTGTATAGAAATTTCACAACAACAGTTACTTCACTAACATTACAAAAAAAAAAAAAATAAATAAATAAAAAATCAACAAATCAAATACTAAAAGAGGTACGTATCACGCGGATTCGCGCAACCTAAAATCTTAGTTCTGGAACTATAATAAAGGGTCATGTAACCTGAACATCGTGCAACGCAACCTAATTATCGTACAACGTAACCAGAATATCGCGTTTCACATAATCTAAGCAAGCGTGGCATGTCGAAGTGCTTGACGACGTTCGATTTTTGAAATCGATTATTCAACTGATTCTTGCGAGAATCTAATTGATCTAATTCATCCATCAATTTCATAATGGACAAGATAGTTGAGTGCGTTTTCCCCTGTCGTGATTTTCTCGTGGTGATTCTAACCAAATTCATTAGAGAGAGAAAAACTTTGCTCCACAGGATTTCAAAATATCGCATATATTATAAATTTTATTTAAATACAGTATATACAGTACATCGCAAGGAATGTCCATAATACGCGCAATATCAAATCCAATGCCCTAAATTATTCTCAAATGGGTGCCGCAGTGTTTGCAATTTTCGTGAGCGAAGGGCGATAATGTTTAGAAAACGGATTGAATGCTGTTGCTGTTAATCATTGTATCAAAAGATGCCGGATCTTCATTGGGTTTTGTCTCACTGAGAGAACGAGATGCGTGTGTTAGTTCAGTGGCAAGAAAAATATCACCGCGACAAAACTTACCTGAGCAGCACGACAAACAGCACCACAAAATACACGCACTGAGTAAGAATGTCGCCTATAAAAGCGTGAGACTCGGATATTGGCAGGGTGGACCAAATTTTCTCTTGGCAAAATGCTAACACGAACGCCGTCACCGACCAAAACACGAGTGCCGATATCGCTGATATGTTAAACATTTGCATCTATAAAGTAGAAATATTTTTGGTAAAGCGTGCGTGGATTCAGTTAGCCACTAAACTCTTCAGAAAACTTACCTTTCTCAAGTACCACTTGAATCTCACATCAATTGACCTTAAATCCCTCCTGCTTCTCTCTTTATTTATAAAGAATATCCTTTTCTTGATAAGTTCTTTGCGTCCATTCATATCTAAACTTGTACCACCATCAAACTCCTCCACCACACCCCCCTGTCCCTGCACCAATTCAAAGGTTCTTTTGGTCAATTTCACCAATAACCTTCCGTATATCCCAAAACCCAACACCAATATCACGCCTATAATAGCATACGAAAGGAGGCGGGTAGCAATGAATACATGGAATAACTGACTGTCACCGCGCATGAAAAAGAAACCGTAGAGAAATGAACTTCCTTGACAAAGGACATATTGAAATATCATTATGATCCAGTAACAGGTTCTCGTGAAATCAATAGAGGGAATCCAGAAATTCGAGATGGCAGAGGTCGGTTGGAAAAAGGTAATCCTTGGGATCGTGTGAAAACTAGCGCACACGGAATAGTATGAGATGAGTTATGCACAGCGCATGTTAAAGCACGCATTCATAAAAGTGGTACCTACACGCCTGCCAAGTAAGTAACTATGGAGGCTTGACAAAAAAACCAGGGTATGTCCTCTAGTAAAGCCCGAATCACGTAGTTTGAGGGAAACATATCGATCAGAAATACGGCGCTGCACACAATGCGCACTAAAGAGAGTTTAAACTGCGAATTAGTGATTAAGAAAATACGAATTTTTCGGAATTATAACTCATCGATTGATACATGCTTAAAACTGAGGCAAAAGTGAATCCAAGGAAACCTTCTAACGGAGCAAAAAGACCACCGGCGAATAATTTTACATCTCGATGCATTTTCCGTCGGTATATAAACAACGCCTAATTTTATGAAGAGAAGAAAAAAAGTAAATGCAAAGTTTCAAATGTTTGGTCGATGTGAGGTGAATGAATGCTTACGGCGGCAAATAAAGCGACAATCGCAGAGGTGATGAGGTTTCCATAGTAGACGGACACGAAATAATGAGAATCGACGCAGTTATATATGAATAATGACCACCTGATAATGTGTTTAAAAGTTATCATTTAGAAAGCTCAAGTGATTGATTTCATTGTAATTCCAACTTACTTGCAGTAGACGACTTCGGAAGTCGCATTCATTTACAATCAGATTGTTATGATGAACGGCTGGTTAAATTAGTTGGATCGCAAAGTTAAATAATGTAATTTCCTGTGGAAGAATCTATCTTTCGCATAGAGTTATGTTGACGAGTTCCCGACCGTCGTGTTTAGGATTATCATACAGCAAGTGGTCATCAAAAGGTGAGGCGGGAAACGAATGGATTCTATATGTAGATGTTATTAAAAATTTCGCAATGCTTTTTGAAATCAAAGGGTACAAAAGAATGGATGAGTGAGATTACGTTGTTTCCGTCCCTATTTATCATCGAGTTCTGACCGAGGGTCATATTCTTCGTTATACAGCACAGTTACAGAATAGGAAATTGAAGTGCAAACCTGGATTGGCATTACGATACAAGGTATACGAGGTTTCATTGGTTTGAGGAAATTAGTCCCCGCTAACCTCTATCACTATGAATTGGACAATCTCAACTCTTTAACATAACCTTTGAATTCCACGTGTGCTCTTTTTCTTGTGACCCCATTGGTTCTATTGGCGGTGAGACCACCATTTTCACGATGGTGAGGATGCCTATTTTGGTCATTCTTAATTTATGCCATTAGTGGAAATAATCAGCGCGAATACCACACGGTATTCGATTAGATTGTCATTTTCGGAGATGATTAATCGGTTCTTTCTAAAGATTTTTTTTCTTAAAAACAAACAACAAAGAATGTAATATTATTCAAATGTTTTACGTGACGCTACGATGTGCATTATTTTTGTGATTACACATGTATGACGAATCGTAACTTTCACATGGTCAAACGTAATGGGATCTTAAATGTCACATCCAGTCAGCTTATGAAATCGCGCACCGAAAAATATTCCTTGGTTGCAGTACACAGATGAACAATTCAAATACTTATCGATTATCCTTTGTTTATTGATCGTCTCTAAAAAAAATAAGACAGTCGATATCCGATTCGAGTTGGCCGGTTTCCGTGCCCATCAAGTTTGACATAATAAAAGGGATGACAGCAGTTTTTGGTATGGTCAGAGGTGGCGCGATATGTGGTGTGTGGTTATCAAACTGGAGAGAATGGGTTTCACCTATTAGGACCGACGTGACGTACTCGTTGCCGCCACACCAGAAATTCGTTATACCGATGGCAACACTTTGCGGTTAGTTCGATCGTTCAGGGTCTAATGAAATTACAAACATTACTGGTTTTCGATTCTAAATTCCCATAATACAGCGATTGTAAATCTTTTTTACTACGGAGATGTTTTCGTCCATAATTATAAGATTTAGCGATCTGTATTTCGAACATGCCACCCATTTTTCCCTGATTAAGAAGTTTAATTGAATGCGTTAAGGATACATGTAGGTTCATCGATAGATAAGATTGACGATGACCCAATCGACAATTGATTTCTTAACGAAGTATTAATCTGCGCCACTTACTCTGGAATGGAGATACGATTGTCACAACACATGAGCTCCCCGCGCTACAGCAAGATTTCAATTCACACCTATTTTAAATTTCGATAATCGACATCAAATCTAAGGTAAGTATGATACCAATGCATAATAATAAACATTTGGTCGATCTTCTACTTTGCTGCGTCGCATATACAACCTGGTTTGCACACATGTACAGCACACAGTACGCTACGTCTTAGGAATTATTCTTTTCGTGCGCACGTACAAAAATTTATGTTTGCATATGCACATATTTGTATTATTTTAATTACATTATCTTATTATGACATTATCATCACGGCATATACATTTTATTTGTAATTTGATGCATTATCTCTGTTTCTTGGTATCGTACCATGCATATAATGTAAAGCAAATGTATACGGTAAATTTAATATTTCCTGAAACATTGAAGATAATATTGAAAGCAACAAAGAAATCGAAGGCAAAACTCTAATCTGACCGCACGCGATATCGCTATTTTTAATTGAAAAATAATTGTCCTTTTAACAATAAATATATGATTAAATGGGAGGTAAATAAACCCGCACGCATGTACGCGGATGAATGCGAAACCGACTTTCCTAAAAATAGATTTAAATTATTGACTCCATAATTGTCATTATTTGAATGAATGAGACTAGACTAAACATTGACGGGAGTGATGAATTATAACAAATCGCCTACATTGCACAATCTGTACCGCGCATAATAAGGATAGAAATTTTGATGCAAAGACAAAGTTTTCTTCCCATGTAATGTTCAAGTATTTCTTATTAAATAAATCAAAATTTTTTTAATTGGCAGTCATGGAAAAAACTTAATTAGCAAACAAGAAAATTTAATCTAAATATTTGATGATGCAAAAAATAAAACTAGGTATAAATAATAAATAAAATAACATGTATCTTATTTATGTTATATATAGATTTAAGAAATTCTGTGTTTACATATATGTACTTTGTATTATTGTTATAATATATATATCTATCTATCTATTAATTGATTCAATTTATTAATAAATTATTATTTTTGTATTCGTACGCACACATGCAAATAGCATGCACAGTATATTGTAAAAACATCAATAAAATAATACCTGATCACTAATATATAAATTAATATTTCCCGTTTTGTCGATAATTAATGCCCAATAATAAATAAAT